TTCTTAATGTATGTTCTTCAAAACTTCATATATAGGTTTCTTTTTTTCACTCAAACTTAAAATATTTTTTCGGGAAATTGGTATACTTTACTCCAACTTCTTCATTACTTTTTAGGATTTACTTCAAAACTCCCACATCATTATGATATGACAAGGTTAAATAAATCTAACATTTTATTTTTCAGAATTATCTCCTCCTTTAAACTTTGAATTTTTCCAATTATTCTTTTAACGTTCTCATATTTCATTTTTAAAAATAAACATTCATTATTAACAGCTTTGCTACTAATTGTTCTTTGTTACACTCACATCATGTATGACATCTTGGGGGATCTTTATTTCAAGAGTTAGTTCAAGAAGTTTGCTTTCAAAAAAATGTTATATTTTGGTATCAGGGATGTTAAAAAAATAACTTTAAAGTGTCCTTCAGTCTGTCTGTTCATAATAACTGTTTCCTGTGATCAATTTAAAGAACTTTTTCAAAAAACATATTTCTTAAAAGAAAACAGAAAAAATTAAAACATAAGTGAATGGCCAATGGCCCTTCAGAATGTTGATGGGGTTCTAACCCGGTAGGGGTCTTATGGATTGCTTGCAATACTATGATAATTGCTTGTTTATACTGTTAGATATGGTACAACATTATCTACATGAAAATAAAAGATCATATTTTGTATTTGTTGATGAAAAAATGCTTTGATACTATATATAGAAATTTGCAAAATGCATTGTGGGTGAAATTGTATAACTTAGGAGTACAAGGTAAATTATTAAGAATTAAAAGGGACATGTATAATAAAGTTAAATCTTGTGTTAGGTCATGTAACGATTTTTCCTCGTATTTTGAGTATTGCTATAGGCTTAAGAACAAGAGGAAATAATGTCTGAGGTACTTTTTTCGCTACTTGTAGTAGATCTAGTATTGTTTTACAGGGAAAATGTCAGCTCCGGACTTGATATAGAAGAAATTGTTTTACTTTTACTTTATTTGCTGATGATATGTTGATATTAGGTAAAACCCCTCAGGAATTGCAAATGCATTGAATATTGTAAAAATTTGGGATTAGAAGTTAATACAGATAAATCTAAAATTGTTGTAATTAGAAAAATAGGGCGTGTATTAGGAAACGAGTTTTTTGGTCATATAATGGAAATGATATTGAAGTAGTGAATATTTTAATTAAATTGGAACAATTTTCATTGATACAGGTAATTTTACACTAAATCAGGAATACGTTACAGGTAAATCGATAAAGGCATTGAATGTTTCGATTTTAAATTGTAAAATATATGATATGATTTTAACCCAAGTTATTATGTCAGTTATTTGATTCTTTTGTTTTATTCTAGAGAAATATGGGGCGTCACAAAATCAAAACATATTGAAAGAATACATTCGAAATTTTGTAAAATGATTTTGTCAGTAAGAAATACTACCTGTACTGTTGGTGTATATGGAGAGTTAGGAAGGTATCCTTTGTTCATATCCCGTTATATACGTATTATTAAATATTGGTTACAGACACTATTATTGTACTTAGCATTAAATGATTGTAATAAAGGATTATGTAACTTGGTAATATATGTTTAAAAACGTTTGTATGACTATGGTTTTACAGATGTTTGGAATAACCCATATAGTATTGATTTAAAAAAAAAAAACTTCATTCTGGTATTTAGACTTATTGATTGTTTCATACGAGAATGTATCGAAAGAATCAAGTTCTGTACCAGATTTATATAATGTGTGTAAGCTAAACTTTTATTACGCAGAATATCTTGATTTAATGCCTACTCACTTGAGACGATTTATTACTAGATTAAGAACTTCTGCACATAACCTTGGAATAAAAACTGGAAGATATGCTAGAAATAAAATACAAGGAAATGAATGTTATTGTCAATGTTGTTCTGTAAGATACATCGAAGATAAATTTCATTTTATTCTCATATGTCCATATTATTCAATTATTCGTAGCATTTATATCAATATATACTATTTTGTAAATCCAAAACTGTTTAAATTTATAGCGCTGTTACAAAGTAAAAATAGGAATGAGCTACGCAAATCAGCTGTTTATTATAAAAAAGCTATGACTATTAGAAATTCAATAATACATTATGCTAAATGATAATACAAAATATTTGTTGATATGTTCATCCTCGTTTAACTGAGACTTAACAACATATAATGTTTTGATGTTAGCATTATTTCTTTCTTTAATATCATTTCATTGATTGCTCGCACTGAAATGTATTTGTTACTCTGAAATTATATAATGTATATAATGATGTACAAATCAAATAAATAACAGTTATGTTCTGTTCTGTATTTATAATGTATTTGTATTTAAAAAGTGTTGCAATTATCACTTGTAACCTGGTTAGGAAAAAAGAATTTGGTGTTCCAATAACCACTTGTTACCTGTTATTTAACACTCCTTCATTATGAAATAAGTTAAAGAAATTTAAGCGATGTTTCATTCTGCATAATACTGGCTCAAATTGTAAATATTTTTTTATCGTTTTGGACTATGTCCTTTAATATACCATATTTACCTTTTCTTTGCATTCCAAATAAACGTCTAATTATAAAAGTAGAAAATATACAAGTGACATTAAAAAAATCCGGATTCGAGACAACCATACTAGAGAACTTTACTGCAACAATTATTGTCTAGTTCACTGCGCGGGCATTTGAAAACTGATTGACAAAATAAATAAATACAAAATGATTCTGAAATTTTCTATAAATATGTAATATATGGAATATCTGAAAAATATTTTCCAACATTTGAGCAAAGTTATTCCACTTTTTGGGCAAATTGTAAAGCCCGTAATATTACCTGTAAAACAATTGGGCGTCACAAACTAAGACTAAGTTACTAAGTAAGCCTAAAGTATTGCATCTTTGGTGGTCTGTAAATAAGTTAAATATTGAAATTGAGCTTTTGGTGTTACCGTTATAATGAATTATTAGTACCAGTTTTTGATAAAAAAATAAAAATTTATCGCGGATTTCATCTTGTTAATTTGTCTGATCGTCGTTGCGGACAGATGGGCTGCATTTAAAAAAATAAAATACGGTTAAATTAGAGTGTCCTATCATTGTCAATTAAAGTCCATGCTATTTCACATATTAATGGTATATGTTGATAGAAAGGATTATATGTCATTTCATAAACTGACCAGTATTTTTCATAAATCTTTCAGATATTAACACTTCCTTAATTAATGCTCTAGTAATGCTGATAAACGTTCACACTACTTACTTTGTTCTTCACATTTCATGGTTTTATATTCTACAGCACAATAAATCACTGTTGCTACTGCAGTTGCTACTGCTAATCCCGCTAGAACTGCAGCTGCTATTATTGCGATAACAGCTCGTTTAGGTCGAAGATGAGAGTCTGTAATTTAAAAATCATCATATGATCTGTAAAATATACAGATAGTTTGTGATGGACATATTGACTTCATCGCTACTTCTCAACTGTAGGTTCGAAATTCGCCAGTGAAACGGACTATTTCATGTAACAAAAATTGGCCTTGTAGATAACGAATGCCAGTTTTTCATGTTCACAATAGTGTCCAATTAAAACGCACGGATGAGCATCCGATGTCTTCATCCACAAAAAAGTAACTGAAAAATCTGTATACAGACCAACATTAATGTTATTATAACATTGGCTTTATTTTCATATAAATTTGTTGTGATTAATGCTTTCCAGGTATCACACCTTATCAAGATAGTAATTAATTAATTAATAAACTGAGTGCTTGATTGATTGAATGATTGTTTGTTTGATTGATTGATTGATTGATTGATTGATTGACTTACGTGTATGTATTCAATTTTTAATCAATTCATGCATTTATTTGAATATGCAACCTATGTCATAAGTGTGATATTTTTGACAAGTTATTTTAGATTTTCATACAACAATTCAAGTAAAAACTAATGGACCGGAAGAATTTACAACTTTGTCTGTTTGTCTGTAAGTGCTTTTTTTTGCATGTACTAGCATTGATGTTGCATTCTGCACATTTTGACATGGTGGTCATCAGTTATTCTAAATAGTTTTCAGACCTTTATCAATATCAATAATAACAATAATTAATTGAACGTAATTGAAGTTTTCAGCAATTGACTTGTGTGACTTTTTTTATGGTGCTGTAATTTGGACATTTGTCACAATGATGATCATGTGTGCCAAATAATAATATAAAAGAAAACTGTTTAACAGTTGATCTTCAATTGTGATATTGACCAATCGGATATGACAAATTGTATGACCAATAAACCAAAAGAACATATACATATCAATAAATGTAGATACAGAAAAAAAATTGTACAAATAAATTTTTTTTTAAACAAAAGTTATCTATACAGTGTGCACCTCTTCATTATAAGTCATTATCATACAATTATTGACATGTGAGCCACTAAATATGGCGTGATATTGATCAGCAGGCAGCATACTGATTTTACGATTTGTCAATATGACTTTTGCAGGTGAATATCAAATGCAATTTAATGGCTCACAAGTCAATAATTGTTAACTATATGAATAAACTAACACTTTTTGAAAACAAATCTCAAAAAGTACAGTTAAAATAACTTTTGTCCGTTCCACCGAAACCTTACATAATTAACATATACGCTTGGATCTCTGTATCTGTTTCTATCTAGTTCAATATTAAAATTGTATGATGAAGTCCGTAGTTTTGCCAGTGCATTGCTTAATTTACGAAATTAAACAACAGATAATTATGTATCATGGATAAACTCATTTTATACTATCGATATGAATATACATTTACTTTGTATTAATATCACATGCCAGTTCTGTATGTATTGTCCTTTCATGTTCAACACACAAGTTAAGAAACAATTTCTTATCATCAACATACTAGTTTTTCAAAACATATTCAAAACCATTTATATAAATTCGACAAACCAAACGGACAGTAAATGCGATTTTATTTCATTAAAGAAGCAAATACACCATTGGAAATTGCCTGAGTAGACAGACGGACGGCTGTTAATATTATCTGGAAAGGGATTAAAGGCTTTGACATAATAAATATTTAACTCTTACAATGTTTTCTGCACAACACAAAATAAGTCTGTTTTTTATCTACTTCATTTTCTTTGATGATGTGACCATGTTTATTACTTGCACTGTAGTTTCATTATATATTTTGTACATGTCATTACTGTATGATCATGGAGAATAAATTACAAACAAGTATGAGGAAAATGGTAGCTGAAAATTTAAGTATCACTCAAGTGATTTAAGAACCGTTGAAAAATTAAAATTAATATGATACAGACTTTTTCCATTTGTTTTCAAACAATGAAATATTCATATTGATTTCATTCTACTGAAATTTGCTTAACATATCTTATATCGGTTTTAATGTGCATATCTTAGCCTACTTTATGCAACTATCAAATTTTGAAACTCAGACTGAAATTCCCGAGATTTTTTATTATCATACCGATCATAAGAATAACGATTATAATCAATGATATAATGTTAAATAACCTGTTCCTTTTGAAAGTTTCCAAGTGCCATCGACACAGTGGTATTGCAAAACAGTTTCATTTTTTGTGACCTCGCAAAACGAATGGTTTGGAACCAAATATCTGTAATGCCTATCAAACGTATAACACCGCACTGTATCCGTTTCCACTGGGAAAGGTAGCAATTGATTGATATCGCAGTCATATCCTGGAATTAATGCCTAAAATATATAATGAAAAAAGCAGTTTATGATACAACATTTGATAAAACTGAAACAACAAGCAATCATCATAGTATTGCAAGCAATCCATAAGTCCCCTACCGGTTAGAACCCCAGCAACATTCTGATGGGCCATTGGCCATTCAATTTTACCAGTGAATGAATGACATGAATGAACTTATATCTTTTGAGTTATAAGTTTGTCTATATCACAGTAATGTGTTAAGTTTCCCTGCCTAGTAAGGCAATTATGTTTATACAACCTTGTCATATTATTACAATGTGGGATTTTAAAGTAAATCCTATAAGGAATGAAGAAGGTGGAGGAAAAATACCAATTTCTCGAAAAAAATCTAAGTTCAAGGGGGGCATAATTCTGGAAATAGTCTTGCTAGAGTCTTTAACCTTCTCAAAAATGTTGAGTGATAATAAGAAACATATATATGAAGTTTGAAGTAGATATATTAGGAAATAAAGAAGTTATTTTAAAAAAGACAACATTTTTTTTTTCATAAAAATTCTAAGTTCAAGGAAGGTAATACTGATAATTTTTCTGCTAGAGTTGTAAACCTTGTCACATATGATGTGGTTTATGACCAGAAACTTATATTTAAAGTTTGAAGTTAACACCTTAAGAAATAAAGAATTTACAGTGAAAAAGCTGAAAAATTTAAATCGGTCTCTTGAAATTCAGGCTATTTGTTGCCATAGCAACCAGAATTTTCAACATAGGAAGAAAAGAAAAAGATGTACATAATCTCCAGACTGCCATCTACCTATATTTTAAGTTAAAAAAGTTTAAAAATATTTTCAGTACTTTTTAAGTTTTCACTGGATCCAGTTTATGTGTTAAATTTGCCATATTTTCAGACTATTTGTTTCCATAGCAACCAGAATTTTCAACATAGGAAAAAAAAAGACGTGCATAATCTCCATACTGCCATCTATCCATATATCAAGTTTCATAAAAATATTTTCAGTACTTTTTGCGTTATCGCGGGATCCAGTTTTGTGGACGGACGGACTGACAGACACATGGACAGACGGACAGACAGACATACAGACAGACGGACGGAGGGTAAACCTAAAGTCCCCTCCGGTTAAACCGGTAGGGGACTAATAACTATTTGCCGCGACATATCGTTGATGTTTATCTTTGTTTGGTTTGACGGAGCACAAACACGGCGTCAAAACAGAAAAGATGAGTTTTGCTAACCTTAGGGTTATCCTGTTTACTTTCAACATCTATATGTGTTTAATGTTAAACCTCGAGAATAAATTATAAGACCATGAAACGACATAATTTTACCGTTTATAATTATCATTAAAATATTTTATACACTTAAGCTTTAAATTGTATACTTTTCAGTGGATTACTGATTTATCCGTGCAAATTATATTTGATAATTACATAGTAAAAAATTATCAAACTATAATTTCGTACTTTTCAATGACGAAACAACACGATTTTATTAATGGTAACGATTTCGACCTATCTATGGCAGTTTAAAGAAAAGCAATTTTTTTTTTTTCAAACGTAATCAAAAAGATGAACTTACTTCAATTCATTTAATTAACCGATCACCAAAAAGTTCGTTTTTATTTTTTGATTTCCTTCTTACATTCTAATAATTACACTTACTTCATCATGCAGAACTACTCTTGATGACATTTGGGCATGTTCAAGTATCCTACGAGCAATAACTGTAAAATATGCGTAAAAACAATGACAATCATGGGCCCGAAGTAAATAACCCAGCGTTCGTAAGACAGTCTTTCAAAAGATCTCGTTTTCTGAATTCCTAGTCCCTTCTTGAATATATACCCAAATGTCAACAATTAATTATTGTCTGTAACAATCCACGAGTAAGTAATCTTCTTAATGATAGATGTAAAACTATAAAATTTTAATGAAATCCCTTCGAAGAAAGCACATTTTATTTCTTCCTCACTTTAAATAAACAACTTTTAAAAAAATGGCGGTCTGATGATATGCACTGATATATTTGTCCGCTCTGTTAGTGTATCAAAAGGGAATATAACTTTTCATCTATTTGAAATGTTTGTCACAATGTTTGAAACAAGCGATCATTCATATCTTTTTTAATAAATTTTTGCCGTTAGACGTCAATTATCGAAGCTCAAGGTTTTTGAAAATTGGGGAAAAGTTGCCAATCTGTCTTGCGTCTATTTATTTAGGGACGGACATGCGGACAATGGTATAAAATGCTGAATGGAAAGAAAAGCCTCCACTTACAGGAAACATTTTTGCACTGTTGTCTTAACATAAAATTTCGCCAGTGTTGTGCGATAATTATGGTCTTATGACTTTTATAACCTTATCAGAAAGAAGAAACGCATTCAGCAGAGCAAAAATGTTAAAAAGGTACGGACGGCTTGGCCTAAATGACAATATTTTTCAACAAGGTAACATCTCTAAAGATCCAAACATTGCTATATTTTCTATTCTGAATATTCGTAAACGTAAATCCCGATCTCACGGAGTACGTAGAAAAGGCAACATCAAACGTATATCTAAAATTATCCTGTCACCGACTTAAATATTATCCTAAAAAATTCTGGTAAACATGCATTGTTATCACGTCTTACTTCCCTTTCATTATCATCACTGAAAATCTTAGACGCGGAAGCAGATAATATAGTTATTCAAACAGATCCTTTATATACAGCAGCTTATCTTATTCAAAGTTATACTCAGCACGTCTTAAGACCTCATATCGACAACACTTCTGACCACAACAGACACTTCCTAAAAGTAACCTTTCTTAATAAAGGTATCGATTTCATCGATTTACCAAGTATTTTTCGTGATAAACGTGTCACTAATTCAGTTCCTTTATACTTCAAAAACTTCAAAAAATACTCCAACAACTTGAGACTGCAATACTTCTAAATTCTGTAATTCAGATTTTGGCCATATAATCACTGGTAATTTTAATATAATTTCTAACAAAAGAATTCGTAACTTATTCTTGAAAGGACTTTAATACAGAATTCCTTCTGAGATTGATTTTAATGCTTGTCGTGGTCAGATTGCTGAATCTATAGAGGATTTTTCGGTCAAATGGTGTCGCCATGAAAATGCGGATAGTAATGCTCTAGTTACATGGAAACGTAACATCTTTAAAATTATTGATTAACGTATTAATTTTTATCGTGGAAATGAACATCTTTTGCCACCTAAACCAAGACTTACTTTAAGACATCTGAAAAAAGATATTCTTGCTTTTCATTCAAAATTTGTTTTGGTGCCAGCGGACAAGACGGCTAATAATATCATAATTGTATGACGAATTCATTACATTAACGTTTTGCATAAGGAACTAAATAGAACTAATGCGTATTCTAAAACCTCTGCCTCCGAAAAAGACATTGTAAACAATCATATTACTAATATTTCCAATCTTAAAGTCCAAATTAATGAAAAAGAACTCAAACTTCCTATTATGTATTGGATTCCTAAATTACATAAAAAAAACCTTACAAAGCCAGATTCATTGCTAATTCTACATCTTGCACTACAAGTAAACTTTCTATTTTATTGACGTCTTGTTTGACTGCCATTAAAACACATGTAATTAGAATTTGTGATAAAGTCTATGAAAACACAGGAAAACATCTCTTTTGGTCATTAAAAAATTCTAGTGAAATCTTGGATAAATTCAAAATTAAGAACTTTCAAGCCTCAACTGTCAGTACATACGATTTTTCTACACTTTATACAACTTTGCCACATAAATTAATCAATGATAAACTAATGTCCCTAATTCAGAAAACTTTTTCACGGGAAAAAGTTACCTTTCTAGCATGTAATTCTAACAAAGCATTTTTTACTAACGGTATTGTTAAACATTATACTATGTGGACCTGTGACGAAGTTTGTAGAGCACTCTCTTTTCTTTTAGACAACATTTATGTCAGGTTTGGTAATACTCTATTTAAACAGATCATAGGAATTCCTATGGGTACTAATTGTGCACCCCTGGTCGCCGATTTGTTTTTGTACTGCTATGAAAGAGATTTTATGTTGAGTCTCTCTGAAGATAAACAAAAAGATGTTATAGTCGCATTTAATAATACTTCCAGATACCTTGATGATATTTTTAATTTAGATAATCCTTATTGATCAAATGGTGTCTGACATTTATCCGCATGAATTACAACTTAATAAAACGAACTCTTGAAATTTTAGTACATCATTTTTGGATCTTCATATTACTATCAACAACAATTCTATTCACACGAAAATCTATGATAAAAGAGATGACTTTGACTTTTGTATAGTTAATTATCCACATTTAGATGGAGACGTACCCCATGCAACATCTTACGGGGTTTATGTTTCTCAGTTAATTAGATTCGCTAGAGCTTGTAGCAACGTAAAGGTTTACAACGAGCGGAATATTTTTATTACCAGCAAACTTCTAAAACAGGGCTACCGCTATCATAAATTACGGATATATTTTACTAAATTTTACAATCGTAACTTTGATTCAATAGTGATTTAAAAACTTTTCTGCGACAAGGGATTAGCCTGCCTGGTTTTTATGGCGATGTGATTTACAAACTTCGTAAGATTTTGGGTCATGGTATTTTTTCTGCTGTTTTACTAAAATCATAAAACGTTTTATTAAAAGAGGTTATGGCCCTACTGTTTTAAGACATACTGCATGTTTAGTGTTCAACCCTTTTACAGTTGGTCACTACGCTTTCCTCTTTTGATTGCATCTGACGGACCAAGTGGGAGACTCTATGATGGATAGTTCGTCAAGCCCTTTGGGACTGAATTGTCTTAATGTTCGTCTTCTGCCTTGCTTCGTCGGGCCCTTGTAGGTGATTTTCTTGTTGCTCTGTCTTCCTTTAGGACATTGAGTACTTTTGTTATGGTCATTGGGTTTACTTTTATATGTTTCTACATGCTCATTATAGTGTTTTACTTATTTAACCTTTTGTAACCATGACAACTGTTAGAATTTCAC